CAGGTGACGATGTTATTGTATTTTCACTTTCCTCAGTCTGTATGCAGGCTTTTCATCAATGACATGAAACCTTGAAAAGTGAAGACTGGATTAATAAGAAGATGGGGGCAGCAAGCAGCAGCATCCGTGACCTTCCAGAAAATGAATATTTAAAGAAACTGTCAGGACGAGAGGCCATCTCTGAGAATGACCCGTTTTGGAATCAGTTGCTTTCTTTTAGCTTTACTATTCCAACAAACAGGTAGGTGCTACACATTTAGCAATAATGTTTAGTAATGAAAGCAGATTCTATAATAGTATTGTGCCATAGAATATCAACTTTGTTCACTCTGAAGACTCTTTTTTTCAACTTACAACCACAACTGAGCCCAAATTTTCTGCTGCTAAGCAAGGCAGATGTTAAGTGAGTTTTGCCCCATTTGACAACTTTTTTGCCACAGTTGTTAAGTGAAACACTGTGTCAGGCTTCCGATGGATGCCCTAATTAATTCATGAGCCTCGAGCCAAGTTTCAAAAGAAATCCAATTATTTATTAGGAGCAACCTGTAAGTACTTTCCCAAGTGCAGTTGGCTCTGCCCCACGTAATTTACTGCCCACCTATGACCCTGTTTCCCCCGCTCCTCCCAGGGTGTGTCATAAATCATATTCTCCAACAGAGCACTTTCGCGCTGGCACGCCACTCTGGCTTGCTCTAGTAACCTTGGGTACAATCTAGAGAAAGGTATGTGTTTCTGGTCATAGCAACCGAGCTTCTACATCAGTTCCCCCCCACCCACCCACCTGGCCCTGTGGCAACTCAAGAGCAGGCCAGGAATGCTTTACGAGTTGACACACTGCAGTTGTGAAGTGGATCATGCAGTCATTAAGCTAATCTGGCTAAACAACCCCCACCTACCCCCATTGACTTTGCTTGTCAACAGCCAGCTTACATGAATATTGCTGGTTACGTGACCTCAGGACTGTGCAACTGTCGTACATAAGTACATGCCGGTTGCCAAGCACCCAAATTTTGGATCACATGACCATGGATATGCCACAATGGTCATAAGTGTGAAAACTGGTCATAAGTCACTTTTTTCCCATGCCAATGTAGCTTCAAATGGTCACTAAATGAATGGTTGCAAATTGTGGACTATTCTGTAATGGCACACTCTCAATTATTTAATGTTGAATCCAGTGGTATCTTAGAAATCATTGTTAATTGCTTCCAGGTAGGCACCATAAGTACCAAAAACAATAAATGCCAAATGTATTTTTCCCATAAGGAATAATGTAGTGTGTCACAAGTCAGCTGACACCTACAAGTTCTAGTGTCGGCTCCAGCAAATCCACCCTCATTCAAATCAAAAGTTTCTAGCCGCATCTCAGAGAAAAGTAAATTGGCTTATTAGAAGTTGCCATGTTGACGCGTGGCAGGGTGCAGCCGATACTAAATTACATCATACATTTCCCCCTTGATCCTGGTCTTCCCCCCCCCCCCCCCGATGTGACTTCTCCAATGGGACACATCCATCTCCAAGAGTCATCCATCATGCTCTCCAATAACTTTCTAATGCTCCAACAACTTTGGGCTGCCGAGGTGATTATCTAAGCATTTCAAGAATGTTTTCCCCCACTCCCTTTTTCTGGCAGCTAAAAAGACCAAAGAAGTATCTTTTTAGTTGACATCAAGCTTGTGCGTTGAGTACCAAACAAACAGTGAGTAGCAGGACAAAATGTTCGCATCAAAATGCACTGAGTACCAAATTCGATGAGTTTCATGGCCATACCAAGGTACCATTGTTAGTTGAATAAGTTGACTAACAAACATTGCCTGGTTTTCTTGGGGATTCATGTGGGTCTCTTCTACACTAATGACTTTCTTCTTCATTTGCTTTTGGCTGCACGCAAGGAAAGCAGCAAAAAGTCTTTCTTTCTCTCCCCCAAACTCCGCCAGAAATGAGTCTTTGGGACCTTGCAAGGCATCCTGCTCCAAGAGGCTGCATCCACGCGACAAGTCTCACAAAGACTCATTTCTGGCGGAGTTTGGGGGAGAGAAAGAAAGACTTCTGCTGCTTCTGCTGCTTTCCTTGCAAGGAGCCAAAAGTCTCTCTTTCTCCCTCTTAATTCTGACTGTTCCTGCTTTCCTGATTATTTTTTCTTGATATGGGAAGCTTTCATTCTATTTCTTAAATCTTTCTTATTATAATGTGAACAAACAAATATTTGGATTCCGTGTCATCACATCTTGGTGCTCAATAAGTATTTAACAGTACTTTTTATATTGTAATTATATATATAGTGTTTTAAATAATAACTTGAGAGTCAAAAAGGTTCAGAAAAATGTCTTGAACACTAGATGGTGCTGATGTATGGTAGCTGAGTAATTTATTTTTGGAGTGGATGTTTCAATTGCGCAGTTAAGATACTTCAAATGTAAATTGTTTCCTTAATGAAATACCACAACATTGTCGAGAATTGCAGTCATATATACTGTGTGTATGTTTTCCTGTTGTACTCAAGCTGGGATATCTTCTCAGCACACACATGTCTAATGAAATAGATACAGATGCTCTTCCTTTATCTCCTCTAAATCCTTCTGGATTTAGAACCAGCCCTGCTGGGGCATCTGAATGTCTTGTTAAACCCATTCTGCGAGCAGATCAAAGTTTATCCTTGTCTGAAAGTGTTCCAGGGAGCAGAAGGATGGGAACATAGGAAGGTGAGGTTTATTTACCTGTCACTAAACCAGGAGTGCTGACTGCTATTTAGAAGGCCAGGTCCTGAAGATGAAACTCAAGTTCTTTGGCCACCTAATGAGAAGGAAGGACTCACTGGAGAAGAGCCTAATGCTGGGAAAGATTGAGAGCAAAAGAAGAAAAATGGGACGGCAGAGAATGAGGTGGCTGGATGGAGTCACTGAAGCCGTCGACGTGAGCTTAAATGGACTCCAGAAGATGGTAGAGGACAGGAAGGTCTGGAGGAACACTGTCCATGGGGTCGTGATGGGTTGGACACGACTTTGTGACTAACAGCAACAAACCAGGAGTAAGCATTTACTCTGAGATTCTACAGACTTTTTTTTTCCTGACATGCTTTTAAAATTACAACAACCAACCAACCAGAAATGGGTGCCTAATGTCCCCTTGTTTTTCATTGGGTGGGGGCTTGGATGGGGGATAAGATAGGTAAGCCTTTCTCTTCTTCCATCCCATACAGACTTTGATAGTATTACATGTTACAACTGCATTCACAACAGCCGTGGCTGCTTCCTGAACGAAGTGGGACCTCTGGATGCCAAAAGGTTGCTCATCCTTTTGCAGGATCAGGGCTTGGCATTCCATCTGAATCACTCTTGTTTTGTTATTCTGTCTCCCTGAAGGTTTTGCTATCAATGATTATATTTATCATGCTGCATGATGTATTGTATGTATGGGAACCGTTTTTGTTAAGTGAGCTTGTTTAAACAGTAATGGTTTCCCGACATAACCCTAAGATTAACTCAGGCTTCTTGACCATAAACAAACTTTCTTTAATGCCTCTTGGGGATATCAATTACAACGGGAATCATTCATTCATGTGTTCATTGTTTAGATTAGTCTTCTGCCTACTCTGTGTGTCCTATTTTTTAATTCCAGTCACATTACTTTTTGCCTTAGGTGAGTAATAATAAGTCGATAATAAGTTGACCAAAAAGTTGCCCAAATATATATTAAAGAGGGCGAGATAAAAATATAATGCAATAATAATAAAATGGAAGGAGATGGAGGAGGAAGAGGAAGGGAAGGAGGAAAAAGGAGAAACCATTTTACACAGTCTGCTTTATGTGAATCAGTACAATAGAACAGGGGTGTCACACTCAAGGCCCGCAGGCCAGTTGTGGCCCACAGGGTACTTAAATCTGGCCTGCGGGGTTGGCCTGGAAGTAGCAAAGGACCGGCCCGCAGTGCCTCTGGCAGCCAAAATGGACTCTGAGAAGGCTGTGCATCGTCACTGCCCCCGTGCCGGGAGGGGTCTGAGGAAGAGTCCGTCCCGTTCTCCCCTCCCCACCTCCGGCCAACCCGTGGAGGAGAACTACTCAATGCTGATCCGGTCCTCGAAGAAAGTCAGTTTGACACCCCTGCAATAGAAGCAAGATAACGCCTTCGTTTTTCCATCCATCCATCCACCCATCCAACTTGCATGCCATTCATCTCTGCAAGGGCAGCTCTATCCATACCTGGTATCATGGATGCAACTGAAGGAATGAATTTCCTCTAACCTTCCTGCAATTTTTGACCTTCCCAATTCTGTTTTGGAGGGGTGAAGTACGTGAATAAGGGATACACTTCGAACCAAACCAAACCAAACCAAACCAAAACAGGTTCCTTTAACAACAGTAAAACTGTGCTTGTATAGGATTAATAGATTTTTTTAAAAAGAACTAATTTGCTGTTAAGAGCAAATTGTCTTGTGGCAGATCCATTTTTTTTTTTAGATATGAATTGATTGACCATGTGAAGATATTTTCACAACCGGAAACTGTTGGGATTCATTTAATCCCCACCTGCCATTTAATTATCCTGGAGGGGAACTTTTCCTCCAAGTAACTACCAAGATTCAGTGCTGTTACACATGGTGTATTGTTTTCTTGCTGGAAAGCATCAAATCTAAAGCAGAATTTGCTAAAAAAGAAAACCCAACAACAACCCAACACAATATGCTTCCCTGAATGCATTCTGCTTCACTTTGTTCTTTCCCTCTGGGTTTTGACAAAAGGTTGGTTGAAGAACAGGACGTCTGACCCCCTTAATGGAAAATCCTAAAAATAGCTACCTTTTATGTTGCTTTAATACAGGGTATTTTTAAAAGAAAGGGAATGTGATAAATTACTGGTAGGTCTTACGTATTTCATTGTTATTTTCTTGTGGATAGTTGATTATATGGTCTCTTTAATTTCATAATACGACTGGAGGGAATAGGCTAATTATTTTGCATGTGTGTGAAGGATCGTAAGGAAGGTATAATTAAAGCACTATAATATCCATGGAAGTTACTTTGGAAGACATATTTAAGGCTAAAAGTTAAGCCTAGGATTAAAAATAAGTTGGGGTATTTAACTTATTTTTTACATACAAAGTACATAATAAATGTCCCTTACTAAGGGAAAGTATATAAAGCAGTGTTTGTCAACCTTGGCAACTTTAAGAAGGGTAGACCTCAACTCCCATAATTCCCCAGCCAGTGTGGTGTTGAAGTCCACCCCATCTTAGAGCTGCCAA